GCGGGGCGGGGGGCAGCGGGAGGGGGCGGGGCGGCGCGCCCTCAGGTCTCACTGACTTGGTGCCCGGATGTCTCTCTTCCCCCTGCTCTTGGCCGCTGGTGGATTGCGCATCTCTCCATCTTTCCCGTGTCTCTGTCTCTGTGTCTCCATTTGTCTCTTCTGCCCTCTTTGTGTCTCTTTCACAATCTCTGTGTCTCTGTGTCTCTGTCTCCCTGGCTCTCTCTCTGTCTCTGCCTCTCTGTCTCCACCTACCCCCCCCGCCCCGCCCCCAGGTGGGGAGGACCTTCGACCCGGCCACGGCATTTGTGGTGGAGGACCTCAAGCCCAACACGGAGTACGCCTTCCGCCTGGCGGCCCGCTCTCCGCAGGGCCTGGGCGCTTTCACCCCAGTGGTGCGGCAGCGCACACTGCAGTCCAGTAGGTGTCTCGCGGAGCCTGCTCTTCCCTGCGGGGGGGCCCCAGCGCACACTGACCCTGGCCGCGCCGCCGCAGCGGGGGGGGGGAGGGGGGGCGCCTGGCCTCGGACGTGCCCACCCGCGTTGCGCTGGGGGTTCCCGCAGGCCCCGCTTCCCCCGGCTCCCTGGGCCTGGAGCCCTGGGGGCGCCGAGGTTCGCCCCCTAGGTCGGGGACAGGTGTCCACTGCACCTTCTCTCTCCTTCCCCCCCCCCGCCCCTCCCCAGTCCTGTACCTGGGGCTCATGGAACAGCCACGCTGTGCCTGATCCTAGGCGTGGGGGGCGGGGGGGGGGCGCGGCTATGTGAGGCTGTCCCAGATCACACCCCATCATTCCCAGAGCGCACAGTGCACAGAGACCAACCACCTCCCCAGATGGCCCTGCCTCCCCAGACAAGGTCCCTCATTGCCAGGGGCAGGAGCAGAAGGGGAGGGGGGTGCAGGCCCCAGGATAGGCTCTTGAATCCCTGGAGCTCTTTGCTGGGCCTGCCCTGCCTCCCTGTCACAGGCAAGTCACCTTTTGGCCAGAACACTGCACCCGGCAGCTGGCTCTGGGCCACGTTGTGGCCCCTACCGCCGCCCTCCTTGCCTGCCCTGAGCTCAGGGCCTAGGCAGGCCCCTGATCCCGCTGTCTCCCTGCCTCCCCTCCTCCCCCTGCCCCTCTTCTGTGCTCAGCCTGGCCCGGCATGGCCTCCACCGCCGTGGCCCCCTTCCCCTCCCTTCCCCCTTCTCAGTCAGTCAAAGTGCACCGCCCCAGGCCTTGTTCCGGAAGCAGCCTCGGTGTTCAGACCTTCAAGTCCCCCCCGCCCCCGGTGTGTGCACACAGGGGGTCACCGGTCAGTGGCGAGTGATGGCAGCTTGGGCCTGGGTGTCTGAGCCGCTGGGATCAGGGGCCTCGGAGACACAGCACCCCTGCCATCCCCAGCCCCCTTCCCTCCTCCCTACTCCTTCGCGCCGAGCCGAGCGCTCTGCAGCTCCCAGGCATCTGGGCGTGTTTGTGCGTGAGGCGATCAGTGAGGGTGTCCTGTGGCTTGGCGGCCACGTGAGAGAGACCGGCACGGGTGCCGCGAAGGTGAGTACGCGCTGGTCTCAAGCAGGTTCACAAAAACGGCCCACCCTGCGTGCTCCCCAGCCTGTGCTCCAGGAGCTCTGGGCTGCAGAGTCCAGAGCCCAAATTGAGCGCTCCCCCCGCAAACTTTCTACTCCACGGTCAAGAGCCACGCCCGCCCAGAAATGGGGAATCTGGAACTACCTGCCCGCCACGCCTGTCCGTGGGTCCGTCACACCCTCCTCCCACCCCCCCAAGTGTCACGCAGGTTGGGCCGGATTGTGAAGGAGGCGGCCTCCGTGGTCGTCAAGAAAGCGGCTTTGGCCCAGCCACTTGAAACCTCCGGGGCGGCCCAGGACAGGGAGTGGGGGAGAAGGGACTCCCCGCTTCTCGCGCCAAGACGGGTGGGGCCCGAGAGAACTGGCAGCAAGACTCAGGGCCAGGCATATCCCCCTGGGGACTGCAGGCTTCTTAGGCTGAACTCAAGGGTAGGTGGAGGCCAGACCACTCAGCCGTGGGTCTCCCCACACCGTCTCACCTTCCCGCCTCGTCGGCACCAGTCTGGAACTGCGGCGTGCCCACACTGGGGGCCAGAGCAGGGCTTGGGCCCGCTTGCGTCCGGAGACCCACCCAGAGCTCGGTCTGGCCTTATAGCTCAGCACTCGGCCACTCCCTCCCTCGTAAGAAAGTCTTATAAGTTAGCAGTTGAAGAGTGGAAGGTAGGTAACCAGACTGGGAGTTTTCTGGAAGGCGTCTTTCTTTCTTTTATTATGGTTTTTCTCATCATCATCACCATCACCGTTGTTTCTTATTTTATTATGGTTTTGATTTTATTTTTCCTCCCCCTTTCTCAGCGAATCCATTCCTTCCAGCACATTCTTTGGTTGGTTTTTCCCCTCCTGCCTGATTCCCCCAGGCACTTTTGGTTGGGGTGGCTGGTCAAGAAATGGGGGGAGAGGGCCCCAAGTGTCTGGTATCAGGGGAGGGGGACGCCGGCATTTCACTTTAAGTGAGGCCGGAGGGTCGTTCTATTTGAAGTAAGCCATTGGAGAGGCCTCTGAGGTATCTGGTAGTCTGATGTCTTTCAGGATAGGGGCCTCTCTTTCTTCTCTGGGTGGCCCCGGCATGGGGTATGCACGAACCAAGTCCTGTCTAAACACATGCTCAGTGAACAAATGGGGCTACCATGATGGTAAGGGTTCTCTGTGCCCCGACATGAAGCAAAGCCAGTGGTCTCTCTGGGCCTCCCTGCAGGCAAGGAAAATTCTGGAGCCATGGGCCGTTGAAGTCATGTGGCTCCAGCCATCCTCAGCTGGCCTGAGGTTGAGGTCTGAGTCCCCATTCTCAACTCAAGATAGCCCCTGGACAACAGCTGAGCCTGGGTTCAAATCTTGGCTCTTGCCACATGCCCTTGGCAAGGCAATTTTGCTGTTTCCAGCCTCAGTTTCTTCATCTGTAAAGTGGGAGGTGATATGCGAAAAGCACCCAGGGTAGGTGGGGTCTAGCACCCAGTAGGTACATAACCGATGATCATAGAAAACCAGGCAGCTGGGCTTTCAAACTGATTTCCCCACGTGTAATGTGGAATGAGGCTGGAGGGGTGATGGTTCTGGCCATGTATGCGTCTTGAGAATTAAATGATGTATCATCGGGGACACATTTTGAGTGTAAAGGGCTTGGGGAATGGGGTGTGCCGAAGATGTGATGCACAGACTGTGAGGTTTATTACCAGGAATGGCCTTCATACAGCCTCGTAGTAGGTACTGAGCAGATGGGGACTTAATGTTATTCCCATAAAGCCCTTAACACACACAGTAGGTGCCCCAAACACGGGGGCTATGAGTATTGTTCCGTGAAGCCCTTGACAGAATGGCTGGCATACAGTAAGTGCTCAGTAAGTGGCACTTTCTTGAAGGAGGTTGGCCTGGCTCTAGGCACATAGTAGGTGCTCAGATAAGAGCCGCTGTCCGTCTGACAGGGCCTAGTGTGGTTTCGAGTATACAGGTTTTGCTCAAAACGTGACCTTGTTATCTGCAAAGCCTTTGGCACTGGGTGTGCAAACAGTAGGTGCTCAAGAAGTGAAACCTGTTACCATTCATATAGAAGGCCCTTAGCACAGACCTCGGCACACAGTAGGTGCTTAAGAAGCAAGGGCTATTAATGTTCTACAAGGCCCTTAGCACAGTGCCTAACACGTAGTAGGTGTTTAATAGGTAGGGACGGTTGCTGTTTATTCAGTAAGGCCTCTAGCACAGGGCCTGGCACGTAGTAGGTCCTCATTGTGTGGGGACTGTTACTGTTATCTGATAAAGTGCCTGGCATGGAGTAGGTTCCATGTAAATGGCAACTGCTGTTTTTATCTTTGGAGGGCTATTGATGCCCAGCCCATAGTAGGCGCTCAATAAATAAGAGTTGGCCACCATCCATGATGGCCTTAGTGTGGTGCCAGAGGAACTATATGATCTGTAAAAACCTTGGCACACAGTAGGTGCTCATCAGGGCTGTACCATCTGTAAAGTCCTGAGCCTGGGACCAGCCCAGGAGGTGCCCGGCTAACGGGCACTTCTATTATTACCCTACAAAGCCCTTGGCATGCTAATTGGCACACAGTAGGTGCTCAAGACACGGACATTATTTTGTCTTCCAAGTGAGGCTGAGAGGGTGGTCCTAAGTTGAAGTAAGCCACGGGATGGCCTCCGGGGCCCCTCATAGAACAGTTGTTCAGTACATAGGTGCTTTTACCATTAACCTGTGAAGCTCTTACACTGTGTCTAGCACACAGTAGGTGCCCAATAAATGGGGCTTTTACTGCTTTTACCCTGGCCGCGCCACTCCCCTGGCACACAGTAGGTGTTCAGCCAATAAATGCATTTACTGTTATCCTATAAAAAAACTCAGCGCTATGCCTAGCACACAGTAGGTGTCTGATAAATGGGGCTTTTATTGCAATTACCTGGCGTGGTGCCTGACACACAGTAGGTGCCTAATGGAGCTTTTGCTCTTCCTCCGGCACAGGGCCTGGCATACAGGAGGTGTTCAATAAATAGGTCCAATTACTGGTCTTCAGTGACGCCCTTGGCGTGGTGCCTGGCACATAGTAGGGGTTCGATAAAGAGATGCTTTTACTGTTACTCTGTGATGCCCCTGGCACCGTGCCTAGTGCATGACAGGTGCCTCATGAACGGGGATGTTACCGCTATTCCGCAGGGCCTCCTACGTGCCCCGGGGTGCAGCCCCGGGCGCTGAGCGCAGTGTTCTTGGCCAGCCCTCCCGGCCCCCACCCCCACCCGTCCATCTCACTTTTGGTTGACACCCACTTCTTTTGGGTTCGACTTTCTCTTTGGTTTGGTTCTGTTTTGTTTGTTATCATCTTCTGTTTTATTTTCTCTTTCCCATCTTTTGTTTCCCCGCCCCCTCCCCC